TGTGGTTCTAGTTGATATATACACTGGTTCTTTGTTGAACCATTATTAGTATTGTAMTTTCAAGTAAACTGTATGTGGTAGAACTCTAAACATGCTGTTATTATTTATAGTGGCTGCTGTGTGTGTGGATCAGAATGAAAGAATTGAAATTGCAACTGAAAAGCAGAACAAAGGTAATGAATAGGTTATTCACTATGGGGCTCAATGATACATTTGTGTGTGTGTGTGAATAACTGTCTGACTGACTGAATGAATAAATGGTGGATATATAGTTAGATAGATTGAAAGGTCCATAGAGTAGAAGGGTCTATAGGTGGGCGAGATGGTGAGGTGGATAGATGGATGGATGCTTGGATGTGTGCATGAATGAATGCATGATGATTGCCTGAGTGGATGGATAAATGGATCAATTGAATAAATGGATGGATGAATGAATGAATGAAAAAATGGTACGAAGGATGGATGAATGAATTTCCAACATTTGGATGAGAGATGGATAAATGAGTGTCTGAATAAATGAATGGATGGATTAAAGAATGAAAAAGGGAATAAAGAAATGAAGGAATAAGTTAGTGGCAGACTGAATGGAGGGATGGATAGATGAAGAATTGTAGGATGAATGAATGGATGAATGAATGAACGGAGGAATGGATAGATGAAGAATGGTAAAATAGATGGATGGAGGGATGGATGAATGCATGGATGTAAGAATTAAAAAGGGAATAAAGAAATGAAAGAATAAGTTAGTGGTAGACTGAATGGAGGGATGGATAGATGAAGAATGGTAAAATAGGTGGATGGAGGGATGGACGAATGCATGGACGAAAGAATTAAAAAGGGAATAAAGAAATGAAAGAATAAGTTAGTGGTAGACCGAATGGAGGGATGGATAGATGAAGAATGGTAGGATGGATGAATGGAAGGATGAATGAATGAATAGATACATGGTTTGGTGGAATGATAGGTCAGTGGGTATATGGCCCCCTGGTTTTGCGTGACTGATATGGTATGACTGGTTTTGTGTGACTGATATGGTATGACTGGTTTTGTGTGACTGATATGGTATGACTGAGTTACTGACAGTCTAAATAAATGAACGAATGAATAAATGGATGGATGAATGGATGGATGGATGAATGAATGAATAGATACATAGATGGATGGAATGATAGGTCAGTGGGTTTTGCGTGACTGATGTGGTATGACTGGTTTTGTGTGACYGATATGGTATGACTGACTTACTGACAATCTGAATAAATGAACGAATGAATGAATACATAGATAGATATATCAGATAGTTGGGCGGTATGCTTACATGATGGTTGACTTAGCAAATTGATTTATAAATTAATAAGCAGATTCAGCAGATCCGCATTAAGTAGTTTCTAATTCAAACCATATTCACTCACAGACTCTCAAACAGACTTCACATAAAAAACAAAAACTTGTCACAACAAATGTCTTGTTCTCTATATTGTTCTTGGTTTTCCCATTCTTGGTTAGTCAATATCTAAGCTAGTCTTTGAATGCTATGTT